AAATACGAGACTCTATGCTGGGTGCTGAGGAAATAACACATATAAGAAATGGTCCCTACACTCAAGTTTATAATCTAGTAGGGAGCTATATACTTGTGAAACAGTGCATGTCATGGGATATGTTAATAGCAGTCCTTGTGGACACAGAAGAATAACTCATCAGACACTCTGAGAGGCCTTCACAGAGGAGTCTGGCATTTGAGTTGGGCCCTTGATTGCTTCTTTCAAACTGTCATGAAAATTAGGCAGTCTGATTGGAATCTTTTTGTTTGTTTGTTAATCCTCACCCAAGAATATTTTTTATCATTGATTTTTAGAGAGTGTGGAAGGGAGGGGGAGAGACAGAGAGAAACATCGATGTGAGAGACACGCATCGATTGGTTGCCTCCCGCACGTGCCCCAGCCAGGGCCAGGGATCGAGCCTGCAACTGAGGTATGTGCCCTTGACCAGAATCGAACCCAGGACCCTTCAGTCAACGGGCTGGCGCTTTATCTACTGAGCCAAACTGGCTAGGGCTGGAATCTTAAAGACTGAAGAACAGATCTTGTCAAAATTCACTTCTCAAGATCTGATAAAGAACATCGGCCTCTGAGTTAGAAGACCTGGGTTCTAGTCCAAGTTCTGCTATGAGCTCACTCTGTGACCTTGAGCAAGATATGTAACCTCTCAGGATCATAATGTCCTTGTTTCTTAAAGGGGTAGTTTGGAAGAGGTTATCTCCATGGCATTTCCTGGTTCTAAAATACCTTTCTTCCTGTGTTCCTAACATATTACACAAATGAATGAAATGAAAAAGGAAAAGAAATTAGAAATTAGAGCAAGTTTAGTCATGGCGGGGGAAGAATGGAACTAAGGTTATGGATTCTACCAACAAAGAAGCAGTCACCAGCAGTCACTTCAGCATGCATTAGACCAGCGGTTCTCAACCTGTGGGTCGCGATCCCTTTGGCGGTTGAACGACCCTTTCACAGGGGTCGCCTAAGACCATCCTGCATATCAGATATTTACATTATGATTCATAACAGTAGCAACATGCAATTCTGAAGTAGCAACGAAAATAATTTTGTGGTTGGGTCACAACATGAGGAGCTGTATTTAAAGGGCCAGAAGGTTGAGAACCACTGCATTAGACTGAAGGGGGCATCTCTGAACTTGAAAGGTTGGCTCATATTTTTAGAAAATCCATATTTCTATTGATTTCAGAGAGGAAGGGAAAGGGAGAGAGAGATAGAAACATCAATGATGAGAGAGAATTATTGATCGGCTGCCTCCTGCATGCTCTCTATTGGGGATTGAGCCTACAACCCAGGCATGTGCCCTGACTGGGAATCGAACCATGACCTCCTGGTTCATAGGTTGACACTCAACCATTGACCCACACTGGCCAGGCAAGGTTGGCTTATTTTTTAAGCAAAAAGGGAAAAAGTTTAGTATATTTTTCCTATTTTCTCTATCAGGGAACTTGTTCAGCACTTACATCAGTGAACAAGGTGGATGCTGGACCTTCTACTCCACTCAACAGCCCTTGTCACATGCAAGCTCCTCCTTCCACTTCCCATAGACTAGTTTTTGAAAACTCATCACTTCCCTAAAAAACTGCGTTGACTTCATATTGTTTCATTCCATGGAAATCTTTAAAACATCATCTTCGTAGACCTCTCTTGTTCTTGACACTACTTTGTAGTCAACAGGGTCAACTAGTCACTTATCTTTGAAATTATCTACTCCTTTTGGCTTTCATGACACTATTCTCTCCTGGTTCTCTTCATCTTCCATAATCTTTTTCCTCCCCTTTAAGGAATCCTCTTCTTTTGTCTGTCTCTTAAACATGAGCCATCCCTGGTCCACTCTTCTTTTATATGTCTTTGTCTTGTAAGAATTCATACACACCCATGGCTCCATTAACAGTTGCATGCTGATGACTCCCATGACTATCTCTAGCCCTGAGCTCTTCCCTAAGTTTCAGACTCCTGAATCTAACGTGCCGAACAGACAGGCACACACATAAACACAGATACTTCTCAGTCACCTTCGCGTGTTCCAAACTGAACTCATCTTCCTTCCCCACCAAACTGGCTTTTCTGTATCCCAAACTTGGGCAATGGCTTAACATCCAGTCACTCTTAAAGCCAGAATTTTGGGGGTCATCCTAGGCTCCTCTTTGTCCCTCACTCTGCCCTGCAGGGTCCCTGGTCCCCAAGAGACTAAAAAAACCCTGCTTATTTAGTTTCTCCACATTTTCTGGTGTTCTCTCTTTCCTTTCTGTTCCTACAATTATTTCACTTAGGTTCATAGTATCTTTTGCTTGGACTACTGCAATGCTTCTAAGTCCTGTTGCCCATCAGTCTTTCCACTTCTGCAACCACAGTCATCTACCTACAATGTAAATCTTTCTATATCACCATAGAAGTTAAAATATTTCATTGATTGCCCTGGCTGGTGTGGTTGGAGCAATGACCTGTACGCCAAAGGTGAGGGTTTGTTTCTGGTCAGGGCACATACCCAGGTTACAGGTTTGATCTCTGGTCGGGGTGCATGTGGGAGGCAACTGATTGATGTTTCTCATCAATCTTTCTCTCTCTAAAATCAATACAAAATTTAAAAAAATATTTCATGAACTAATCGCCACATGGATGTAGCCCACTCCCCTTTGCATTTCATATATAGTAGCCTCTCCGTATCTGCAGGGGATACATTCCAAGATACTTGAAACCATGGCTAGTACCCAAACATATACATACTATATTTTTCCCTATCCTATAATAAAATTTATAAATTAGGCACAGTAAGAGACGAACAACAACATTAGAGTAAATCTAAAAATATACTGTAATAAATAATGTCAATGTGGTCCCTCTTAAAATATCCTCTTGTACTCTACTACTCGCCTCTTCACCTAAAGGAAGCACTTTCTGGCTTCTCTTTGGCATATCCAAATAGCCAGCATCACTACTCTTACACTTTGGGGTCACTAGTGAGTAAAATAAGGGTGACAGGAACGCAAGCATCGGGGTATGAGACAATCAATCTGGTAATTGAGGTAGATGCTCTAAGTGACTAACAAGTGGGAACAGTAGTGTGGAGATGTTGGACAAAGGCATGATTCACAGCCAGGGCAGAAAGGAATGGAATGGCATGAGATTTCATCACACAACTCAGAATAGCATGCAACTTAAAATTTAGGAATTGTTTCTTTCTGGAATTTTCCATTTAATATTTTCGGGCCGTGGTTGACTGCAAGTAACTGAAACCAGGGAAAGTGAAACTGTGGCTAAAAGGATCTACTGGTCCCAGGACTTGGCTCTTTGCCCGTCTCTCCATCCACCTCTCCCATTTTTCCCCAACACAAACCTTCAGGGTACACTTTGCTCCTGCTAGTCTCCCCACCTAGTATGTCCTTTGCAGTTTTCTTCACCTGACTTACCTTTGCTCAGTTTTTAATACATGGGCCTTATTTCCTTTAGAAAGTCCTCTGTGAACTCCGGGTTGGGTTACGTGTGCCACCTCTGTGCTACCATAGCACCTTATGCCTATCTTGATTTGTATCATTTACTTGTCACGTTAAAATTACACACTTACATGTCTTACTCACTAGACTAGTGGCTCCTCAAAAGCAGACCTATCTGCTTCATCTTCAACTTCCCAAGGCTGAGCACAAAGCCGGACAGATAATAACAGTTCTGGATCTGAAATGAACTGATGCAGCTTTGCCTTAACCCTAAATCACGAGGAAACTATCATCTAAATCCAGTCATTAGTAAGGTTGCTGGGACCAGTACTTTCTCATATAATTTTTAGAGCTAGATGCGTCCTTAAAAGTATCATCTAGTACTGCGCCTCTTGGCAGTAGGTAAGCAAAGGAATCTCTGAAATCACAGGACCAATATGGTACGTCATCCTGGAGTATCAATGTCACCTAAAGATTTTGGGGAATGTGACTTTCATGGTAAAACAGATAGAGGTGGATTTTAGAGTAGCATGCACATTCAGGCATGAAGAATGACTTCAGCTTATTCTAGGCCAGTGATGGCGAACCTATGACACGTGTGTCAGAGGTGACACGCGAACTCATTTTTTTGGTTGATTTTTCTTTGTTAAATGGCATTTAAATATATAAAATAAATATCAAAAATATGTCTTTGTTTTACTATGGTTGCAAATATCAAAAAATGTCTATATGTGACACGGCACCAGAGTTAAGTTAGGGTTTTTCAAAATGCTGACACGCCGAGCTCAAAAGGTTCCCCATCACTTTCTAGGCCAGCCGTGGGCAAACTACGGCCCGCCGGCCCGTTTGAAATGAATAAAACTAAAAAAAAAAAAGACCGTACCCTTTTATGTAATGATGTTTACTTTGAATTTATATTAGTTCACACAAACACTCCATCCATGCTTTTGTTCCGGCCCTCCGGTCCAGTTTAAGAACCCATTGTGGCCCTCGAGTCAAAAAGTTTGCCCACCCCTGGTCTAGGCTGTCCTCAGCCAAGCCTCCATGTCGTGGGGGGACACATTCGATGGTGAGTGGTAGGGTCTGAGAAACATGAATGGACAGATCCTTGTTTTACACTGTAGTTTAGTTCTTGTCTAGAGCCTTTCATATAAAAATAAATAGCACCCGCGAGACTAAATCACAGAAACGACCTCAAAAGCAGCCAGAAGAGAGAGGTTTTTCATCCTGGGCTTGGGTTGGGCAGCAGGTCTTCTGAAATAGCACATCACCGTGTTTTATTATTACAGAATAGTCCAGATGTTAAAGGTAGGGGAGAGGACGCAGGAAAACAACATTAAAACAGAGCAAAGAGAAGGCTTGGGTTAAAGTGGGGGCCAGAGTGGAAGCAGAGGAAGGACTGTTGAGGTGAGATGTGGAGCATGAAGGAAAAAATCCCAAATAGGACTGTGGTTAAAGATGGCACTATCTGCAGGGTTTTTGGTGATAACCGAAGACATTATTGCATCTTTAGTAAAATGACATGGGGAGTTTCACCCCTGGAAGTTCTACCAGGAGTCCTGGTAGTTTGACAACTTCCTGGTCTGTTATCTTCCAGCAGTTCCATCTATCAACTCTGAGGATGAGGTAGCACCAGCCAAGGGGAAGTGACATAAAAAGATGCAGAAGAGCCCGGCCAGTGTGGCTCAGTGGTCGAGCATTGACCTATGAACCAGGAGGTCACAGTTTGATTCCAGGTCAGGGCACATGCCCGGGTTGTGGGCTCCATCCCCAGTGTGGGGTGTGCAGGAGGCAGCCGATCCATGATTCTCTCTCATCATTGATGTTTCTATTTTTCTCTCCCTCTCCTTTTCACTCTGAAATCAATAAAAACATCGTTTTAGAAAAAGGTGCAGGAGAAACAGAGGAAACAGCAAGGGGACAAGTAGGAAGGGCGCATTTACAAAGGGTAATGAAGTCAACTGAAGTCAAGCCACATTAATCCGGAGCGTATTATGCATCAGGCACTGTTCTAGGATCGGTGATGGAGAAACAGGGAGAGCAAGACTGAACCCCAGCCTTCGAGGAGTTTGCAAGTTTTCTTTGAAGGTGCCTGAGCAGGAGAAGCCCACAGTGGAAACCCCAGTATCTAACGTGGAGGCTTTCCAATGAAGAGGTCTTGGAAAGCGAGACCAGGAGTCATGCCTGTAACACAGTACCCGGGGTCTCCGTGACCTAAAGCTTCCCCAGCCAAGAGCGATGAATCGGCCTCACGCTTTGACTCTCACGTCAGGCTTTACAAGGCGGAAAGGCATGGATTCTGAGAGTGACCTTCAGGGACAGAAATTCTCTCCCAGATCCTACAACCAAGAAATTCTCCAGAGGTTCTAGGACGATCTTTCCCCAGTAAAGCCTCCTAAAGAAAGATTACCAGGCGAATTATGCTTTTCCATCTCAACAAAATCTTCTCCGAAACAGCCTGTTAGGACAAACACTGGCATGAGATAGAGCAGTGATGGCGAACCTTTTGAGCTCGGCGTGTCAGCATTTTGAAAAACCCTAACTTAACTCTGGTGCCGTGTCACATATAGAAATTTTTTGATATTTGCAACCATAGTAAAACAAAGATTTATATTTTTGATATGTATTTTATATATTTAAATGCCACTTAACAAAGAAAAATCAACCAAAAAAATGAGTTCGCGTGTCACCTCTGACACGTGTGTCATAGGTTCGCCATCACTGAGATAGAGCTTCTTCCAAGCCCCTGATTCATTCTGGGTCCCTAAGTATTTCATTCTGGGTGGGGAATGCATGTTTTGGAAATGCTTACTCCAAAACAATTATTTGTACATATGTATATTGCCCTAGAATCTTTTTATTTTTTTAAAGCTTTTAAATATATATATATATTGATTTCAGAGAGAAAGGGAGAGAGAGAGAGAGATAGAAACATCAATGATGAGATAGAATCATTGATTGGCTGCCTCCTGCACACCCCCCATGGGGCGGGGGGATCTAGCCCACAACCCTTGGCCAGAACCGAACCTGGGACCCTTTAGTCTGCAGGCGTATGCTCTAGCCACTGAGCCAAACCGGCTAGGGCACTTTTTATTTTTTTTAATAGGAAAGAACTCAGTCTTCATGGAAGCCTCTGATGGTCTCTGTGACAGACAGGGACGTGGAGGGACACACAGGTGACAGAAGCACCAGGTACTCTAATGTGGGTGGAGTCCAGAACGGAAGTCTGATTTTGAACCCTAGACTACCACTTAGCTTCCATAGAACAAGAATCTCTACTGCTAAAGACATTACATAATAAATAAATCCAAGTTATTAGTGGCCTTTTCTCAAACAGCTAGAGATAGGGCCTTTTTAAAATTCTTTATTGATTAAAGGGCCTTTCTTTTTTAAAAATATATATTTGTATTGATTTCAGAGAGGAAGGGAGAGAGATAGAGAGTTAGAAATATCGATGAGAGAGAAACATCGATCAGCTGCCTCCTGCACATCTCCTACTGGGGATGTGCCCACAACCCAGGTACATGCCCTTGACCGGAATCGAACCCGGGACCCTTCAGTCCGCAGGCCGACGCTCCATCCACTGAGCCAAACCGATTTCGGCAGATAGGGCCTTTTTAATGAGAAACTGATTATACTAGAAAGCTGCTGGAAATATAACGATAAGCCAGCAAAAAACCGTGCTCTGTCTGATCACCCTGCAATGAAGCTTGCCACTGACATAATAAGCCAGCAAAAAACTGTGCTCTGTCTGATCACCCTGCAATGAAGCTTGCCACTCTACAAACACCCCAAGACTACATTTTAGTATGCCATTCTTATTTTTAGTACACCATCCTTAAACTTGGATTCAATAAAGCTCCCCACATAAAAGGCAGAACCAAAAATAACAGAGAGACTTTGAAAATAAACAGACGCTGTAGGCAGCTGATGAAAACTTAAAAGTGTAGAAAAAATACCAGGTTAATATTCTCAGAGAAATCTGAGAAGATATTGTATCCGTGAAATAAAAACAGGATGCCATAAAACAAAACATGTAGAAGGCTCCGTACCCAAAGTAAAGCCCTTGGGAATTACACATATCATGGTAGAAGTAGAAAAATTTCATAGGAGGGTTTGGGAGATTTATTAGAACTAAAAGACAGGAGAGAGCTTTGAACTTGGGGAAAGATAAGCAACTCAGAGGGCAGATCCAAGAGACCCAACATCTAAGTAATTAATGTTTCAGAAAAACAGGCCAGAGGAAATGATATAACAAGAAAACCACCCAGAACTGCAGGATATTATTTTTAGATGGAAAAGGACTTGAAAGTACCTGGAACAATGACTGAAACAAACAAACACATCCTATCAGTAATTAATGACGTGGTGAAATATCAGAACAGGAGGAATATATATAGAAAAGAAAACCCTATAAACTCCCAGAGATTAAAACAAAATCCAAGGAACCAGAAGTCAGAATGGCATCACCTCAACAGCACTCCAAGGAGGCAGGAGAAAATGGAACAGTGATTTCAAAACTGAGAGGAGCTATTTCCAGTTAATACCCTCTATCCAGCCACCATCCGCCAAGTGCGAAGGAAGAAAACGGACATCTTAAATGCGTAACGTCTCAAAAAGCAGCCATGTCCTGTGGGGCCTGACTTCTATATAATTTGGGGAGCACTCTTTACGAAAAAAAAATCATAAAATTGCAAATAACAAAATTGGGTGTGAAAGTGAATATTTATTCAGATTGAGAAAAGAAATCACAAGAAATCGGAGCCATGGAGGTTCAGGACTCTTTTAAAATCTCTTTAGGAAATTTACCAAAAATGCTTCTTTTAGAAAAAAATTTTTTTTATTGATTTCAGAGAGGAAGGGAGAGGGAGAGAGAGAGAGAAACATCAATGATGAGAGAGAATCATTGATCGGCTGCCTCCTGCACACACCACACTGGGGATCAAGCCTGCAACCCAGGCATGTGTCCTGACTGGGAATCGAACCGTGACCTCCTGGTTCATAGTTTGATGCTCAACCACTGAGCCACACCAGCCAGGCCCAAATGCCTCTTGGTGGCAACCTGGCTTTTCCTCCCCACCCAACACCTGGCAGCAGTTGTCAACCCTCCCAGGGGCCTTTGAGCTTTGTAAGCTGCCGGATAACCCTGCTCTGTCTCTATGTGCCTTTTCTCGGGAAGCTGTGCTCCAGCAAAACCAAGGAGTGAGGAGGCATGGAGTCCAAGGAACAGGAATCCAGGCATTCCCAGGCTGGCAGCGAGGGAGCTCCCAGTATCCCAGGGGCTCCGAGAACAGCCAGTCCCAGAGGGTGGGGGCTGAGCTGGGAAGTTTCCAAGAGAGAGAGAAAATCAAAGTGGCTACTTGATGCTCAACCACTGAGCCACACCGGTAAAATTCTTCTGAGGGGAATTTTACCATCCTGTCAACGTTTGAACAAGAATTGGTAATGAAAACTCCAAAAACGAAGCAAATTGAAGAAGGTGAAGCAATGACTAACTCCAGGGGATGGAAAAAGGTTGACCAGGAAAGAAGTGTAAAAATCATGATTTATTGCCCTGACTGGTGTGGCTCAGTTGGTTGATTACCAATTCCTGGTCAGGGCAGATCCCAGGTAGGACCTGCAAAGAAGTAGGGGATCAGTGTTGTGCTCTCACATTGATGTTTCTCTCTTCTCCCTTCCTCTCTCTCTCAAAATCAATAAACTATTCTTTTAAAAAAACATGGTTTATCATAAGGCACAGTTGTGAATAATATCTGCATAGTCATAATAATGTAAACACTAATTAAACACTGCTGTATTCAATGGAATACTACGCTGTGGTAAAAAAGGAGTTCTTACCATTTGCAACAGCATGGATGGAACTGGAAAGCATTATGCTAAGTGAAATAAGCCAGTCAGAGAAAGATAAATATCACATGATCTCACTCATTTGTGGACTATAATGATCAACATAATTTGATGAACAAGAATAGATCCAGAGACAAATGGTAGGGACTGCAAGGCCAAATCACTTTGGAAAGAAGACGATGCTCTACGTTTGGTGGGATCAGGAAGGTGTGGTGTATTATGAGTTTCTAAAACCAGGTGAAGGGGATGGGGGGGGGGTAATGTGGGGATAAGGACACATATCTAATAACTTAATAAAGAAGTGAAAAAATAAACATTGCTGTATTAAACATAAGCAGAATATACTGGGATCTTGCAAGAAACAGAGGTCAATATGAGACAGAATAAAGGAAGCCGAATCCTCATCCTCCAAGGTAGGAAGTTCACAGTATCTAGAACTGGAAAAAGAAAAATAGCCAGTAGCATGCTATTTGGCAATATGGTGATAAATATGAGAAAAAAAAATAGCCCAAAGCATTACAAGTAGTCGCCTATAGGGGGCAGCTCAGTATAGGCTCCATAAAGACCTTAGAACTATACATTTACTTATGTTGACCAAAATATAAAATTTAAAAAATGAAGTAATGAAACAGGAATTTTAGGGGAATACAGGCAGGCTTAGGGAATTTTTAGAATTGGGGTCCATGGGAAAACACAGGGATAGGGATTGGGAGAAGGTACATCTCCATAACACAAGGAAGCCAGGTGCAGGGAGCAGCAACAGTTGCATTTACATAAGTCAAGGGAGCTGGAAGTAGCCAAAAAGGTCTATATTTACAAAATGAAGAAGGAAGAAAGCCAGAAAGAAAAGAACAATGAGGGAGGAGGGTATCACATGTTCCATGTGGTGTT